ATGTCTAGAGGTAGCACCAATTCTCCATAAAAGGTTTTGTTTTGTGCAGTGTGATATTGCTGTGCCATTATCTCCTGATCTGTAGCGCATTGGTGATGAAGACATCACATCAGCCCTGGAGTTTTCCCTGAAGCTATTGTAATTACTCAAAATCTTGTTTATGACTGTTCTTTTCTTGTTAGTCTTTCTTTCTTCTAAGAGATACTGGAGAGGACTTGCACTTAACCTGTGCTACGCTGGCTTTTGTGGAAGTGTTATTTCCTTTTTGGTGTGTGAACTCCTGAGAGACACTGCTCCTCCCTACTTGTGAAGAGTCTAAAATGGAAGAAACTCAAAAGGATAGCTTCCTTTTTAGAGATTGTCTCTGTGGATATTATTCTTAAGAAACCTTTTCTCTGATCATAATGACTGCTTAGAACGTGTATATTTTTAGTTTAGATTTGCTAACTATAATATTGATTTCATCAGGCTTTCGATAATATTTTTATTATGACTTACTTCCTCTCTCTCTTCCTCCCTGTCCAGACACACACAGACTTTTCTTCCTCTGAGTTTCTGATGAAAAACTGCTGCCCACATATTTCTTGTGTGGCCTGTAATCATAAGCTGTTTTTCTTAAATGTTTATTTATCTTTATGGTTGTATGAAAATTAATGCAGTTAAGAGATAAAAACATTCATACCTCCATTACATGTGAGAAAATGACAGCACCTTGAGATGTCACAAGGAAGCTGCGTAGGCAAGTTAGTATTGGATGCAATACTACAGAAGACATACATCCATCCACACTAGGATTGTATTGTAACCCAAACTTTGAGAACCCCTAATTTAAAAAGGGAAAAAACAAAACAACAACCACAAAAAAAAAAAAGGAAAGAAATTTATTTCCTGCAATTTTTCTTAAGGTGTGGCACTGAAAGACAATTCTTTCTTTCTTTCTTACAAGCAGGAGGTTAATCAAGCAGTCAAGATCTAGAGTTTAAATGCGTAATAGGATGCAAGAATTCAAGTGCTTCAGGCCCTTTCAGAGAAGTCCCATCTCAATGCTCCTGTTTTCTCCAGTGATGAAGACTATGAAGAGACCATTTCTTCTCCCCACCCCTCCCAAGTTTCAAAGATCTGTTCAATGGGCAGCATAAAACCAGAATGTATTTATAATTATGCAAACCTCTCTACACTTGACTGTGCCCTCTAGAAGACTCGGCATTCAAGGCTGAGCTGGATGTCTTCGCACTGGCCAGTTCTACTTTTAACAGTCATCTTCCAGTTTTTAAAATAAATACAAGGGATGTTTTCTCTCTTTTGATGATCCTACCTCTTGGATTACTTAGTCATCTCAATCAGATGATGCTCCTGTCCTGCGGAAATTCTCTACTGGGATGAAATTTGGCAGAACAAGTTTTTGCAAAAAGCATTTCCTGGACTGAGGTGGAGCAGAATGGCATTCTGTCAGTTCTGATGTAGTGTCTCTTGGGGAAGATAGCCTGCTTATGTAAATTCGAGTTATGGTAGGGAAAGCACTACTTTCATTAACCCTGAGACTGAGTCAAAGCAGTTTTCATTTGTGAACTGGAAAGCAGTAACTCAATCCCTCCTACACGTGCATATTCCACAGAGAAAGTGGGTCTTGCTAGAGGACAGGGTCAAAGGTTATTGGCACTGCATTAAAAAAAAAAAAAGAACAAAAAAGAAGAAAAAAAACAAGCATTTAATTGGATTTTATCAGAACTGCCAAATGAATGCAGTGCCAGGAAACTACCTGCAGCTCTTCATTACAGTTGCTCTGTCAGAAAAAGCTGTGTGGCTTTATCTGTGCTGTTACTTGAGCAATGTCTCACAGCATCTGAGGTTGGGGCCACACATCCAGGATATTGTGTGTCACTGCCAAGTCTGTAAATATAGTTCATGTTTGTTGGCAGTTCTTCTGTCCATTGATATTACATCATCCCTAGACCAAACCCATGATAATGAAAACAGTTTTAGTCCAAGTAATTCAGCTTCTGACTTAAAAGTCCCCAGTATAAAAGGTGACATCAGTCCACAAATGCCCTGTACTCTAAACAGCTTGCTTCCTTTTCCAGTACCAGTTCTGTTTGGGAATTTTTGATAAAGGTTCTAAAGTCAAACTTGTTTTAAGCCAAATGAGATTGTTAGGAGCTCAGATTGTTTTGAATCAGCACAGCTATCAAGTATCTTCTGCGATTCTGTATTTTTTGAGTGTTCTGTGTCACCAGAACAGCACTACAACTCTTTGATCTCTGTTGATAAGAAACAAATGAAGGAGTTCAGTATTGTATTTCCATCAGCCTCTTTCAGCTTCCTGTTTTATACTAAATCCATGACCTTTTAACTCAGATCAGCCGTGTTGCTCAATAATGGGAAGGTTCCACGATTCTCTGAATTGGTTTTTCAGCTTCATCGTTGTGTAATTCCTGCACTTTGTTTTCAGCTAGACAAAAGTTCTGAGATTGCTGGAGCAGTCATTGCTCTGTCATTGACAAAGTCCTCCAAACCCTCTTACATCTTTCCTAAGTCTTCAAACTTCCCTGTAGAGTGTCTTGTTGCCTAAATTGCATGCAGTGCTTTGATTCGAGTCTTTCTCATATTCAACATGAATTTCAACATACTCTTGGTAGTTAGCTTTAAATATACCAGAAGATAATATTCTTCAGAATTCTGCTGCTTGCCATTAGCAAGCAGTACCATCAGTCCTTCCTCCTTGTGATTCCTCAAGATGTTAACACAGGTGTTTTGTAAGGACTAACTATGGTGGGTGGAAAGCTTCTAAATAACATTTCAGTGTCGAGGCAAAGAAAGACGTCTAAGCAGAGCAGACATCTGAATATGGGAAAAGGTGTGATTAGTGTGTTTGTGAAGGATCTCGCCCTTTTTATTTTCATTAGGCACGAAAGTTGAAAAGATCACTTGTTCTGGGTGCTGGTTTTAAGAACTTTGATATCTAACTGGTGATTTTCTTTCGAGATACAGTGCAGGAAATACGTTTCACCATTTGGAGACACTATTGGATTACAGCTACTGGTTTTGACTTCTTACATGTAGTCACCCACGCTTTTTATTTTTGGTAGCATTCTCTTTCATTCTTTCTTGTTTCTCCTGTAAAATCAAGCAGTAGACTCAGAGCTTGGCACTATCTGAAGCTGCTCCTTCCTTCTTGTAAAGGGGGTACATAAGTAGGAGAAGTCAGAAGTGGTCTCAGAAGTGACGGATGTCTGAATCCAGGAAAGATAGTGAGAGCAATGGGGGAAAGTCTGTTAGCACTCTTTGCATGTTCATAATTGAGGGCAGGCTCTTTAGAGCTGTAGCAGGGTAAGGATTGAGTATTAGGGTACTCAGCCCAAGAAAAAGCAGAGGAGATGTAAAATGTTTCAATTGCTTATGTTACAAATTATATACTGATAGCAATTTTCTTAATGTAACAGGACATCAGAGCAGCACCACATCATTCTAGGTGTTTTTCTAACCATCTCTATTTGGCCTTTGTCATTTTGCCACTGTCAGTTACAGTAGCAGCTCTTGAACAAAGCTAGATCAGGGCTCTAGAAGGCCTGAAGCAGAAAGCAGATTAATCTCAATGTCTGCAGCATAATGCATCAGGATTAAAATGACTACATAGTGAATTTAGTACTGTGAAGACTTACTGAAAACCAAAATCACATCAACAGGGATGTTACCCCATTTAAAGTATTAATGAATCAGTATATCTTCCACAGACACACTGAGTGTCTACACAGATCACTGCATTTCTCCTTGTCTAGTTAAAGCTACAGAAAAGTCAGCAAAACCTAACCTACCGAGTTTTGGTTTGGACCTCAGAAAATATGCCACTAAGGCTTTCCAAAGTTCATAAAATGTCACAGAAAGTTCCAAAATGCCATTTTTTTTAAACACCTGGATGAGAAATACAAGGTTTGTGAAATCTACTAATTCAAGTAAAGAGTTTCTAAATGCTGTTCAAACCTTGTTATGGTTTCCAGGGCTCTAATATCCTGAAATCAAACCTCAGTATTGATTTATTGGCTAACTGAATGTGATCAAATGTAGTAGGAAGTCCTTCACAGGGCAAGTGTAAAAAATAAAAACCTGTAAGAAGAAAACTGATCCTGTCATTTAAGTGAAGTTTGCTTGTGCAAGTATGGGCTTCTAGGTTTTATGTCAATGTCATGAGTGTCCTGACAATGTCACTTACCAATTATGCTTTCATTAAGAAAAATCAGAAAGTTAGATTTTCCTAATATTAATTTAATAGGGTAAATAAATCCTCTCTGCTGAAAGGAACTCACAAGGTATATTTTACATAGAAATGAGTGTTCCTTGAGGATGGGAAAAACCTGTCAACAGGGATCTTAATGGAAATTAGTAACCTCCTTTAAAAAAGAATCAGAGCTACAGATACTTATTAAATGAAATTAAGTACAATTTGACAATTTTCATGCGTCATTCATCCAAACTTAAACCGAGCCTGGGAAATTTGTAAACAAACAATGAGGCAAACAAACAGCACTTTGTGAAATTCTAAAAGCTACATTTGCGAAATGGTGATACAACTGGGTGGTGATTGTGTTGACAGGGACTAACCTACTCACAGTCATGCCCTGTGCCCTGCCATTTTCCCAGAAGAAACTTCATGTTCTAATTATCTATTGTAATTTTTGCTCGCTTCTACTTTTTATTAACAGAAATCTTTCAGACGTCTTTCAGACATGAACAAGTCCCTATGAAGTCTGATTTACATGTCACTAATACGTTACAGCTACATACACTGTTATGTACATGCCAGATTGCTTTTGTCATGACAACACAAAAAACCTTTTGATGTGTTTTGTAAACAGTTTGAATCTATTAGCATACTCTGGTCACTTTAGGATACTGTAGATATCCTGTTAAAAGAAACATGGCTCTAATAGTCCTAAACTTCTGAGTGAGCTGAAAATCTATCAAGTTTAAAACTAATCAGCTGTTTTAAACTTTCTTTTAAACAGGGAGAATGCGTATGAGGAGCAGTGATACGAAGAAACCTTCACAAAGGTCATGTAAAGAAAAACTTGGCTAGTGGGGAATCTCCTTCCAGAGCAGATTGCAGCCACTACCTTCCACTGAAGTAGTTGCACGAGGTGAATAAATTATGACGGTACTCCCAAGTACCTGCCTGTAAAGGATGTTTTTCCTCATTGCCAAGCGCAGCGTAGGGACCAGTTGCCATGAAAAAGATGCAGTGCGTACAAACTGCTTCACATTTTTCCATAGCAACAGGAAAACGAGAATTGCTTTTCAGGCTGTTGGGGTGCTCATCGGGGCGATATCCCCTCCCCTCCCCAGAAAGAGGCCGTGTTTTCGGGGGTGACCTAGTGCAGTTAGCCCCGGGCAGCGGGAGGCGGCAGACCCGCAGGACGGATCCTCCAGGGAAAGGAGAAACGCGGGTTTAGCCCCGGAAACCAGACGCAGCCCCTCCTGCGAGAGCGGCGGCTCTGTGTTAAGCCGGAGTAGCGGGGAGGCGGGCTGGGCTTCGGGAAGCTGAGCGCTCTCCGGTTTCCCCGCAGGTGATGGCCGCCCCGCTGCGGCCCGGAGCCCTCCTCACGGGCGCGGCGCGGCGCCGCCACAGCTAGCGCGCATCCATGGAGGGCAGCAGTGCCGCGGAGGAAGAGGAGAGCGGGGCCGGGCCCGGCGCCCCGCCGCCGCCACCGCCTCCCACCCCGGCCGCCCCCTGCGGCTTCAGCTCCTCCCTCTGCTTCAGCGCCACCGCAGCCGAGCCGCAGCCGCCTGCTGCTGGGGGCCGGGTGGTGGAGAGCCAGTGGGAGATCAACAACGCCGCCTGCCAGCCGGAGGAGGAGGAAGAGGCCGTAGGGACGCTAGACCGTCCGGCGGAGGAGCCCGATCTGGTCATCGAGGTTTCGGGGCGTCGCATCCGGGCGCACAAGTCGGTGCTGGCGGCCAAGAGTGACTACTTTCGTGCCCGCGCCTCACGGGACGTCCTGCGTGTGAAGGGCGTGAGCTACGGGGCGCTGCGGCTCCTCATCGACTATGTGTACACGGCCCGCATGGGCGAGGTGCGGCACGACAACCTGGCCGAGGTGGTGAGCGGCGCCCGCGTCCTCCAGATGCCCTGTGCCCTGCACTGTGCCGCCGAGGCCATGCGTGCCCAGCTCCGCCTCAGCAACTGCTACCAGCTCCTCTGCCTGGCCAAGAAGCAGCGGCTGGCGGAACTGCGGGAAGCTGCCTACCGCTTCATGAGCGATCACTACCTGGAGGTGCTGCGGGAGCCCAGTGTCTACGGCCGTCTCAGTGGCACTGAGCGGGACCTTATCCTGCAGCGGCGCATGGAAGCCGGCCGGCCCTGCTTGTTGGTGGCCGAGGTCAGCGATGCTTTTGAGCGGCCAGGTGGTAGCAGCCGGCCACAGAGCCGGGAGAGTAGCCGGCCACAGAGCCCCTCCTCCGTGGTGTCACTGGAGGAGAGCGGCTCCCTCATCCACTGCTACCAGGAGGCCAGTGGCGAGTGGAGGGTGCTGACGCGCCTGCCTGAGGAGGCCAATGCTAAGGGCTGTGCCATGTGTGTCCTCCACAACTACCTCTTCCTAGCTGGGGGCATCATGGTGGGGCCAGCAGGTGGTGAGTCCCGGGCCCGCCTTTCTGACAAGGTCTTCTGCTACAACCCCCTAACTGATACCTGGAGCCAGGTGCGGCCACTGGCTCAGCCCCGCTCGCAGCTCAAGCTGCTGGCCCTGGACGGTTACCTCTATGCTGTGGGGGGTGAGTGCCTCTTCACTGTGGAGAGGTATGACCCACGGGCAGACCGCTGGAGCCCTGTGGCACCCCTGCCCAAGGGTGCCTTCGCCGTAGCTCATGAGGCCACCACCTGCAACGGGGAGATCTATGTATCAGGAGGCTCCCTCTTCTACCGCCTGCTCAAGTATGACCCCAAACGTGATGAGTGGCAGGAGTGCCCTTACAACAGCAGCCGCCGGCGCTCTGCTGACATGGTGGCCTTCAAGAGTTTCATCTATCGCTTCGATGTGAGCAGTGGCCGTGGTGGGGAGCAGGGCTCAGGTGGTGGGAGTGGCGGTGGTGTTGAAGTTTTCCGGTACAATACAGTGGCCAAGCGCTGGAGACAGTGTGCCAGCCTGCGGCCCAGTGGTGGCCCCATCCAGCCCTTCCGCTGTGCCCCCTTGGGCAACACCATCTACTGTGTCAACCGGACCGGCACCCTCCGCTTCAACCTAGCCCAGGATGGTGAGGTGGAAGCAGATGGTGGGCTCAAGGGCACCTTTGATGGAGAGCTTCTTAAAGCTCCGTTGGATGCCAAGGGTGTCCTCCTACCCTTTGTGCTCACTCTCCCCGAGAGGCTGGACAAAACAGGGGACCAGGAGGGCTCCCTCCCACTGTGAGGTGGCCAGCCTGGTTCTGGCTTCCCAAGTGGGGAGCGGGATTGCAGCTGTGGGGGAGTACAAACTCCCCCCTGCAGAGGGGACCCTCTCTGCCATGTTGCAGAGAGAGGGGACTCCCCCTTTCCTCCTCTCTGCTCCCAAGATGTTGAACTGGAGCTACTTGGTTGTAACACATCTGGTATTTGCTGTGCTTTGTGTGAAAAGCCAAGCACATGAAAGGAAAAGCTGCTATAAAAAGGATGACCTCTGGGTTATGTTTGTGCCAATTCCCAATCTGAGAAAAAAAAACAAACCAACTTCTTTACACCTGGATTTCTGAAAGATTCCTGACAACAGTGTCATAATGGGATGTTACTGATAGTATTGGTTGTGTGTTTACACGTAATTGCAGTCTGGGCTGGAGCTTTTTCTGCCATTTGTTTTCCTTCTTTCTGGGATTATAGGGAGGGATAAACACAGCATAGTTTAGCTGCATTTGTTTTTAGGTTAAACCAACTATTTCCTGTGCTAGAAAAGTATAGGAAGAACATCTCCATCACAGCCTTTCATTTCTGGTGCAATAGAGGCTTTAAGGAAGACGTGGCACTGTGTGGTCCCAGGAATTTCAACCACAAAATGATTTAACAGATACCAGACTTAAAGTTTTAAGTAACACAAATGTGTGCCACATGTTTATACTTGGAATAAACAAAAATAAACAGAAAAAGGCAAGTTACCTTTTTAAAATGTGGCATATCAGATATGAAATGTTGATATGTTCTTTATTTGAAACAGGCAATGGTTTCTGTATAGAAAGTCATAATTTTATTACCTTTTTTATCAGAGATTTTAAATTATAACAGAAAAGAACTGGAGCTGTTCAGACTGCAACTGATTGACATGGCCATGTATGCCATTAGAACTGGGAGAAATACTTTGTACTTCAAGCTGCTCTTTAATTAACTGCAGGTCAAGGAAGATTAACCTAAATCAAATGTAAATTCTTTGAAACTGACTGCAGACAGCTTAAATATCTCACTGTGTGTTAAGTATCCTGTGTCAAGAGGCTTTTCCAACTTACTGCAAGACCATCAGAGGAGGACATGGAAAACAGGAATGTGCTACACATGTTGATTGTATTGTGCACTAGCATGATGCTATTTCCCTATCTTTTGGTTAAGAGACTGCTTTATTTATTTCACTCCAATGATTGCTGCAATCAGTAACTCATTAATTACAGTATGTGCTGACAGCATATGCTGTCATTGAGATTCTGAACCACCCAAGAGCACTGTTTGTGGAGTACCATCCTAATGAGATGAAACCATACAAAGCTTCTTGCTGTCTGTGGGAAGTGGGTGTACTTTTTGTCATGTTACTCAGAACTGAAAAAGTGTAAACCATGTAAACCGTCTACACAGACAGACTATATTGAAAAGGGCACATGGATTTATTTTATACATTTTATATAAGAAAAAAATCCATAGGAAAGGCAAATGTTTTATCTTTATGGTAAATCACTGAGAAACCTTTTCTGAAAAAAAAAAAAGAATCAATGTTTTTGCTGGTATATTGCTCTATATTCAGCCTGGAACTGGCACGCACTGTGGAAGGGAATGGTTTATATTCAAAGCTGTAGCATAGATTCATATTTTAGAATGACATAGGGACCTTACATCAAAAAAAGCAGTTCTTTTTATGTTTTATGACAACGTTTCTGTTAAACAGGACATTAGCGTTCCTTTACATTACTGCTAGTTCCAAAAGAAGGCAGCAGGCTCTGTCCTAAGAGACACCATCATCACAAAAAAGAATAGTGGAGTTTACAGGTACTTCCTTCCTTCACTTTCATGTGTTGTTTTTTTTTTTTTTAATTTTCTTTTTTTCCTCTGTCTTGCATGGGAGTTTAATGCAGCTGAGCTGGTTAGCCATCCTGTAGAAAACAGTGGTCTACTCCTAAAAGTTCTTAGCCAAGCAAACCTATTCCCTAGTGAGCTACCTAAAGCATCAGCTATGTAAGAGCTATAGGCCTGAAGAGTATGATGCTTAACTTAGCCTCAGTACAGGTTGGTGCAGCGGAATTTAATACCATTCACTGAATGATGGACTTAATTCGCAGACAAAAAATCTTGGAAATATTGACTCTAAATTAAATTACAGCATTGTAGCTTGAGCAGGAGAGAGAATCTGTGTTTGCCTTCAGTATGTTAACTGTGGAAAGTATTTCAAGCTGTGTAGTGAAACACTTGTGTATGTCTTCAGTTTAACTATGTGCCTACTAGTCCAGATTTTGAATTAGCAGAGTCACCAGGAACACGCAAGGAAATGTCTATCTTTCAACGTAATACAATTTCATAGTTCAGAATACTACGTAGTATATAGTTCTTATACTACAACATAGTGATGAATCAAGCCAGCTGTTGCATTCCTATTAAGCATTTATTAAAATGAGTTTTGGGAAGTCACCATGATTTAAACTGCAAAAAGTATGTCACAGAACTATAGAACCATAGAATAGTTTGGGTTGGAAGAGACCTTAAAACTCATCTAGTTCCAACCCCCTGCCATGGGCAGGGACACATTCCATGACACCAGGTTGCTCAAAGTCCCCTTGAACCTAGCGTTAAGCACTGCCAGGGATGAGGCAGCCGCAGCTTCTCTGGGCAACCTCTGCCAGTGTCTCACCGCCCTTACAGGAAGTAATTTCCTCCTAATATCTAATCTACATCTCCCCTCTTTTAGACATCCATGAAAGAATGAAATATATCCTTTCTCCCAGTATTTTTTTGCTGTACACCATGAAGAACAAATTTGGAAATAATCTTTGCAGTAATAAGCATTCTGTGAACCTGCAGTGGTTAGTATTTTTGCTAGCTCCTGTTATTAGAAAAGGCTGAATCAAGTGCTTACCCACTTTCACTGTTTACACTGTGTAAATGAGGGCAGAGTCTGGTCTTCATTAGTAGCTGTCTGTCAAACCTGTTTCCTTTGTGTGTTCTCTGCATAATCACAGCCTGATTGACAACAGAGGCATGTTGCTAGCCAGGTTTCCTACTGTGTGGCCTCTGTTTTCTCCCTGGTGAGCCTGAGGCAGGTTTGCCGAGTTGTTTTTTTCTCCTAGCTATATCTTCAGCATATCCAAAAACCCCCACCAAACCTGGGTGCTAACACGAGAATTTAGAAATTCAGGTGTTTGAAAATCAACATTGTCATTCCAGAATTCTTCACAACCACTATCTCTTTGACATGCAAAGGTTCTCTTCTGTCCATACAGAGCTGCCCAACTCTGAGCAGTTACCCACCTACCAAGCTACTGCCTCAACTCCTTTGAGACTAGATGGGACCTGGAAGCTTCTGGTTTAGTATGGTTTTATGGTGCCAGCTAAAGGGCCAGCCCATCGCTCCTTCTCCTCCCCCCCCTCTTCTCCCCCCCCAAATTGTGTTTGCATATATGTTGCTTTTAAAACAGAGCTATTTTATCTAATAGCCCAAAGGCTACTGTGTTTGCATTGGAACATAAAATCTCAGAAATCATTGAGGTAGGGGAATTCAAACCCTCATCCTCACTGACTGATATGAAACTAGATGGAGAGACATAGTCCTCTCTACTGTCTATCTTCTCCATGAATCTAGTCCCCTTCTCCCACTTTTAATAGGATGTGCAGAAGAGTTTTTCTGCTTCCTCCTTCCCAGAGTACTCCTGTTTTCATGGTCATCTGCTACAGGATGCTTGCTTGAATTCCCGCAAGCTGAGTAAGGACTGAACTCAGGCCTCCCACTTCATGTGTGTATGTTCTTAACTCTAGATGACTAGAAGAGGAGTGTTGGGACTGCCTCCTGTGGCTCTTTTTCATGCAAATTCTCCAAAAGCGCGCATAGGCTTCTGCACAGCAAGGTCTGGGTAGATTCCAGGCTCCAGCTCTTTGGTGGGTAATTCAGGACACATTTAGTACATGTTACTGCAATTGGGCAAGTTTTCTTGTGGGGAAAGCTTTTCCAGGCTCTGCATTTAGGGTTGCCAGTCTGAGCAGGAATGCCAGGCACTGCATTGGAAGGCCAAGCAGGTAACTGGGGTGCTTCTCATGGCTGACACCTTGGTAAAGAGGCACTGCAGTGCCTGACATGGAAATGCTGAAAGCCTTCATCACATCTAAAACTGAATCCCCGTTTCAACATAGAAACAAGCCATCTTAGCAAATGCTAATAACAGATGGAACTTAAGTATTTCCATAATAAAAAGAGATTTTAGTTGCAACAAAGGCACGTGTAAAAATTCTGTTTACACTTGGAAACTAAGTCAAAGGAATAATTGGCAAAAGAATAACCCTATTTGATCAAGACAGGCACTGTTAAGCAACATGGGAAGGATGCTAATCATACCCTATTTGTGAATACAGTTGTGCAGTAGGTGATGTAAATACTGTCCACAAAAAATTTCTATGTAAGTAAGTAAGTACCTGGTAAAATTTAAAGTGATAAAAGAATAAATTATTCACATGAAGCTGTAACTCTCCTGTGCCGTTTGATTGGCTCTCAGTGTTGTATTCCCATTATTGCTATTCATGAGGAGCTATTGCTTTTCCAGCTTTCCAGGGTCCATTCCATTGACTGCTCCATAGCTGTGTTACCCTTCATTATCGCAGAACTTGACAGTGGTACCAGAGTGATTTGCTTTTTGTCTGCACTGACATGTAGTGCTTTCTACTTGAATGAACCTATAAGATTTAGACAGAATTGTATCTTTGGGCTTTTGTTTTTCAGTGGCATTGCTCCTGGGAAGCTTAAGAAAGTACAAGAAGGAATATAGTGGTACCTTTGAGCAGTTGTAGTAACAAGGATTTAATGAATTTGGTTCTTTGTCTGCCATTATTCTGCGTACTAGAGTTGCACTGGATTTAACAGAACATCGCTGTGCAGCTGTTAGGAGTATGAGCCTGGGTATTATTGTAGCAAAATATGTTTTTGTTTAAGTATATTTACTGCCTCAGCTACTACTCTGAGATAATTTAATGCAAGTTTGTAACAGTTCCACACATTTAGTAGACTACTGGAACTATTCTGGCTTTACATAACTGCTAATAAAGGCAGAGACTGACACACAAGTTCAGAAAATTGTGCACTCAGAATATTATAATCGCACACTTTTTATTTGCTTTGGCCTGCTGAATGCTGAGAGCTGGTGGAACGAATCTGTCAAAAATAGGAATCAGCAGGTGTGCTGGTTTTGGCTGGGGTAGAGTTAATTTTCTTCACAGTAGCTGGTATGGGGCTGTGGTTTGGATCTGTGCTGATAACACAGGGATGTTTCAGTG